CCAAGTTTCATCGATGGTTGCAAATGCATTAAAAAACTTTCTGAATCAGGCTCAAACATATAATACATTTGTAAACAATCGCGATAAATTGTACGCCAAAGTAATTTTTGCTCTAATAAACAATCTGGGACCCCATTGAGCTCAAACCTTAGGCAATCCAGTTCAAATTAATAAAGTTGATGATTGATCAAATTTTGGAAAGCCCGCGCTATTTATACATTTGTTCAAAGAGGTTTATATTGTATTTGCTTTATTAAATTTGCTTTATTGATTATTTCAAAGAGCATAAGTTTCACTTATTATTATTTTACCTAAAAAGATAAATTAACGATTGAGAACCTGAAGGTCTTAGCTTAAATATCCATTTTTATATTGTGTGATGAACATAGTGTTTTTCTATTTTCTGGATATTTATATGTGTATAATATGTATTTATTTCTACATCTATAATATATTTAGTTTACATATCTATAATATGTTACCTAGTATCCATAGTACAAGCTTTGCTTAGTTTGGGACTAGATAATGTTTTGTAAAAATATGTCCGGAAATATTTATTTAATTATATATAATTTTCGTCAAAAGAAATATATCCTTTACGAAAAACACGATTAGTGTTAAATAATGAATAATTAAATTTGATGCAGAACTATTGATTTATTTTACTGTATCCTGTACTCAAACTCATTTGATTCTAATCCTCATATCAAGTGTGTTTCCAGCTTCTTGGAGACTGGGCCTAGAGTTATCCAACAGACATTTTTTCGCTTCTTAACTTTCTTTACCTACAGCCAGTGCGAAAGTTGCGTAGATGAAATCTCAATATTCATTCAAAAATCCAAACCAAAATGGAAACTTTTCATGGAAATTATTATTTTCTACAAAGACTATCTTGTATACATTTTCTTTACAAGGTTTTTATAACGTTCTGCAGATAAATGCTCATTTATTACGTCACTAAAATAATGAAAATACGTTTGCTCACCGTGGGGGCAGTGAGTTGCAAAAGCATGTCAGCGGGGAGGATTACCTCCTACACACCAGTCTAATATATAAATATGGGCTGTACTTATTTTCTGTTATTTTTATTTTCAATAATTGTTAAATTAAAACGTTAAATTGAATTTTCTACAGCTTCATCAGGGGTGAATAAAGCACATTCGCGTAATATTATGCCGATTCTTAAGGTGATCTGTGAGGAGTACATACTTGCGGTATAGGTACTCTTTTCTAGTCAAAGAAATGTCTGTTTCGAAACGAGTTTGTAGCTCACCTGATGATAATTTTTTTTATGTGAAATATTGCCAAACGAGTAGACGGTTCACCTGATGGTAAGTGAATACCGCCGCCCATGGACATCTGCTACACCCGAGGGTTACAGATACGTTGACAACCTATTGAAAATTGGGCTCCGGCTATCTCACTCACCAGACGAAACGCGAAAGTATTTGTCATACTTCCACTTTATTATTATTTACTGGTTTTCTGTGAGATCGTGGTACTTACCCGGACGGGCCTGCCCATTCGTGCAACAGCCGAGGCTGCTGCGTGTCCCTACCATAATTGGGCCCCAGGTACCTCACTCACCACCCACGAAACGCAGAATTATAACACTTCCATTTTACGGTGGACTTCAATAATATCGGTTACCCGGATTGACCTACCCTTGAGAGCGAAGACTGTGGCGTGGGCCTACCGCATTTAAATTATTTGGTAGTATATTTTCTTTTTTAAACGTCACAAAGAATGCGTCAGCAGTTTATATTTATTAACATTTTAAAGAATGTAAAGTTCCAGCAAGCGTAAGAAGCACAAGGAAAACTTTTAAAGGGTTAATAAATAGTTCATCCATGCATCACAATTGATTAACGGTCATTAGTCTTAAAAGTAAAGTCGTTCATGGGCAGACTAACCCAGCGAAATAACACGGCTTCATAGAAGACCGGCGTGATGTGGAAGTAATATAGGTACTTATAACTTTATATACTTATATTACGTGAAATGTCTCTGCAATATTTTAACGAAAATTGTACCTTAATTTTGTGAACTTCGTAAATTAATTAATATATACATTTTCGAGGCTTATGCGGTAAATTGGGCAAAGAGTAAAAATACCACAATAGTTACTATATTTTATTATACTGAGTAAAAAACGAACTTTATCACTGAAGCTAGAAACTGTTTAGTTCTTGCTGAGCTAATACGGTGCAGTCTAAATTTTCTAAGATGTTAAATACTAGTTAATTCTTACGTATTTGTAATAAATAACATAAAAATAACATAAAAAAAATCTATACAAAATCACAAAGAATTTTGCGAAAACAAATAAATATAAAAAAAATTATAAATGTAATTATATCCTGTGAATTAACTTCGTGTTATGTAACTCAAACAAAATCATTACAGAATATATTTACATTAACATAATTATTAACATTTATTCTAAAAAATATTAAAAGGTCTCGTTTAGTTCTTTAGCCAAGCCATTATTGTCTCCATACCTAATAAGTGAGCTGTTCATAAAAATGATTATAAAATCTATAAACAGTTCCTTATAGTAATAGGAATCACTCAACAATAAGCCGGTTTTAATTCTAATAGGAAATCGTCAATCGGTGTGTCAGGTTTAGTCTTTCATCCACTTCGTCTAATTTGAGTATAATAAAAGGTTTTCTACTCCAAATAACCCTTTTAAAAAACTTGCCTAGTAGCAAGGTGAACTTCCCACACATCGGAAGAACGCATTTAATTTATATTTGTATCTTTACGCTACTGCACAAGGCTAAAATTTTTATGTATAAAACATCTAGCTGCTCTAATTCTATTAAAGTGTACTTTCCTTCGGTTACTTTGAAATTCATTAACAAATTAGACTTTATTCTTTATATTACATTCTATACAGGCGACTTTGTGAGCCTCCTTCCTTTTGACTGTGCCTTGCCTCAAAAAATCTGTGTTATGGACACCTGTAAAACTTTTGCAGCATAAGCATATAAAGGAAAAATATTCGGTAGACTAACGTTCGTGTGTGCTATCGATATAATCAAAACCTTTTCAATTACAGATAAGGCGAATAGACAAGATGGGACGAAACTCCGGTGGAATGGAGACCAATGGCGAACTGAGAATACTTTTGGTGGTCACTGTAATAATCGGTCTTCTTTTGATGCTCTCTCTGCTGATGTGTTATGCGTGTGTGTTAAAACGTCTTTGCTGTGGCACGCCCAGAGAGCGGTCAAAAAACGCGGCGTGCGCTCGAACGGAAAGCTACCCCATGGGAGATGTAACGCTACTCTCGCAGCCAACGGAGAGCGAACGGGTTTGAATTTGTAATGAAGTCATCTAGACAAATATGAATACTATTACTACATGCATACGTGCATAGCTTAATAATAGAAATAGCAATTATGCAGTTAATTTTTTAAGTATAAATTTTTGTAATGATTTTTTTTTTTCAATCAAAAGTCAATGTTATCGAGATGCGAAAACTGTGTATTATATTAGCTTAAACATGGAATTTTGATAATAAGGGAGCTCCAAAAAAGAACGTATTTGAGGTGGTTACTTATAAGGGGTAACATCATGAAAATTTATACAGGTATACCTGTATTTATTAATGTTTTTACAACAAAGTAAGTAGAAAACCTAATCGGAACGAATGAAAACTGGAAACTATTTTTGAGTGTTATGGATAGATTAATCTTTTCACAGATTTCGATGTTTTGTTAATAAAAATGAATAAACTTTAGTATCGCATTGTAGATAAATATATTATTATATAATATATTAAAAAAAAACTATGTATTCTGTTTTATGACTGTCGTTTTTGTTATCTAATTAAAATACGCATTAGTAGTCATCATAGAATGTAATTACGACATTTAGCCGTTAACAATCTCAAAACAAAATAGTTTATTTTGCCATCCGACCTTGTTGCCTTTCAATTGCACCTGGCTTTAAGCGTTATTTTCTAACCAATAAAAAAATCTGAACAGTAGAGAACAAAATCGTTTTACGTATTAGGATTAAAAACACATATTTATCACCAACTTCGCCTAACTTCCAGGCGGGACAAATAGATAAGTTGTAAAACGGTAATTTATGATCAGGCATCGTATAAATAGCGTTTTTCAATGTTATTCTGCATGTTTTCTTAAATCGCAGACACCAAAATCCATTTAATTACTGGTTTTGATTGTCTGAATAATCAATAACTGCCATTCTGTTTCTCTAAAGTTAATCATTTATTGTGCTTTTTCATATTGTAGTTATATAACCATAATATGAAAAATCTGAATATTATTCATGTCTTTTGTTTATTATATTATTCATCTTTAACATAATATAAACATATTTAAATGTACTGAGCCTTTTAAATGTAAGGAAAAATAAAATAATCAAGTAGAAATATGAAATACATATAACATATTAACAACAAATTACTTTATTAAGTTGTGCTTATGTAATTTATACCCCTGTAATGTATTTTGCCTTATTACAGTTTTTAGGGATCTTTTCAAAAATAGTAACCATAACAATCTTTTCGATATTTGGTACATTAAGTTATACATATATCCAGACAAAAGTATGACAACATTTATACCAAGTTTTGATACAATTCTAATCAGATATTTGAAACTAATGGAACTTCATATAATAAACATTTAAAAAAGTATAACATTTTGATATATGAAACTTGAGTTTTACAATTGATATTCAAATAATCTGTTTACATTTACAAATTTATACTATTTATATACAGTAAATAAATTGATAACAGTTTAGCAATGTGTATAAATTTAATATTCTACATATATACAAATTAACCTATTTATGTTGTATATTATGGTGTAAACAATTTTAATTTCTATGATAATGGTTTTATTCCTTAATGTGAAATATACAAAATTTACATGATACATTATAACCAAATGTAAATACGACATATGTCTACACAATTATAAATTTCTAATGTATGTTAATAAAATATAAGACAACTATGGTGTATAATTTTGTTCCCTTAAAACCCCATGAACTAATGTTCTCAGAGACTGTGGCTTGCAATATTCCTCCAGCCAGTTGAATACACCTGCGGAGAATTCTGCAAAATTGTTTGTAGGCACAGACTCAAATGATTCAAATAATTTATCCATTATACCCTGAAACTAAACAATTTTATATATGACAAATTACTGTTATTTATATACTCACATAATTACAAAACTATAGATACTAACCACTTGAAATTTGTCCTGGTCGGTTAGCCTTTGTTCATTGTGTCCAGGTACAGAATGTTGAGCTTTTACAATTTGTTCGTAGTTAGCTTGCATGATACGCAGTGCCACCACATCTTTACGAAGAGCATTCCTCTCTTCTTCTTGTCTTCTCCTTTGTTGAAGAAGGTATTGAATATAATCAATGGATTTCTGAAGCACCTAGAATTATTTAATAGTTTTTGGTTATTTGAAATATATGATAAATAATTAACACATTAATATTTGTTTAAGATAAACAGAAGAAATTAAATGTACAGATCCGAAAATAATTTAATTATTTTAAACTTACAGCTGCTTTACTCGGCTTATAACCAGAAGCATCAGTTTGTTGGCAAGTTGGAACTAACTCTTGTAAGGAATCATAACCTTTCTTTATGGCATCTCTTCTCTTTTGTTCAGCCTGTAATACACATCTTTTATTTTTGTGAAAACAAATAGTATACAACCTATCTATAACACAACTAGTCTGACAGAGATATACAAATGCTCTGTATTTTTTGTACTCAAATATGTAACTTATAAATAATTAAAGTACCTGAGTATGAGCCTCCCTTCGCCTTTCTTTAAAGCTTAAGGCTGAAGCCTTGTTATCTCCACTATCATCTTCGTCCTCTATAAAAAGCATAAGAATATAGAAAATTATTATTATTACCAATTATTTATTTACCACAATAGAATTGTGGTAAATAAATAATGGCAAATGTAATACATGTTTAAATCTTTATTTTTGATGAAATACAGCAACACTAGTGTTCCCTAGTATAATCTAATTAGACTTTTCTAACCTGAATTATGGTTTGACGACGACGGGGTTTGGTGGATATTTTGAAGGGATCCACTACTTCCACAACGAGGATACATAATATAAATAAAATATCAAACTGTGGAAAAACAAAAAAAAAATACTAAAATATAATTTATACTCAGAGTCACCAAATCATATAGATTATCTCTTCCTTCTTTTTTTTTTTAAATGATAATGTTTACGATAACAGTTATGAAATTTCAGCCAGTGTCAAATTTTTGAGTTATTTACATTCACGCGTTCCATTTGTGTTAGTACATAAAACAAATAATTTATGAATTTTAAAGTATTCTATTAATACATTAATTTTAATTTTTTGTATATTATTTTAATATATATTTTTATTTTTATAATATTTTTACATAATTAACTATTTTATACATAAAGATTTTAATTATGACAGTTTTTTTCAAAACCTATAAAAATATTCAATACGTACTTAACGTATTGAATATTTCTAAATTCGTCTCATTTTATGTTACAGTGTTATGTCCTATGTTACAACTTAGAACATTTCTTTATTAGTTTTTGACTCGGATTATATTTCTGATCCGAGAGTTTTTTAAAAAGTAAACTTAAACCTTAATTTGAAGAATAACATGTATTAACGCATGAACATCAACAACGTTTTACCCTGTGGAACGGATTTTGATTACGATACGAGTAGAAGTTTATATTTTAGCTGACTAAACCAAAATAAATATTTTGGTTTTAAATGTATAAAATATATTACAATAACATCTTCGTAGATATGAAAGATTGAGCAACAACAAAAACCAAAATAAAAATTATAATTTTCACGAACTCTTCTTAATACTGTTAATCTGTTTGAATGCTAAACTTATAGTGAATATTTTATAATTATATTTCTTGTTTCGTCTTTAGTTTAACCTATAACAAATTATATCCATAATAATTTAAAAAGAGATAATTTTTAAATAATATATAACCTAAATAAACCTTTTATAAGAGTAACATACAAATATAACATACATTTATAAATTATCATTGCACATCTTGTACTTTTTAATGTGTTTTATTACCTATATAATAGTGTTATGTTGGCAGCGCTGTAGCGCTGAACTGTGAACGTTTTCTCTCCAGTCCGACTCCAACTAACAAACAAAAAGTTTTTTTTTGTGAAAGCAAAGCGCATTTGAAGCAATTGCGTCTTATTATTTAAAATTTGTTTTAAATTAAAATATCTAATTAATAAATAAAACATGTGCATGAACTCTCGAGTGAGTGAAATATTTCAGTTAAAATAGTCTATCGGATCACGATGCATTATATCGTATGTACCTACTTGAATGCTCAAGTGACCTAGCCTGCCATGGCCACCATTTTAGAAATGTTCGATTGTGATTAAAAGTAGTATATTTTGTCGTGTTTTAATTAAACAGTAAAGTATTATTCTGTTCAAGTTTTTAAATACACTACTGTAGAAATTAATATCACCATTACATGTCCCCTTCTTTTATACCATGAGATAACTATCCCGGAAGATGTGTGATTGACTACAAGAGAAAGTTTTTTTTGCAGAAGTGATAGAAAAATAACTGATCAATATGGTTTCGACGAGGCAGATGAGTAGCATAGGAAGCAACAATGGGACCGGAGACGGCGCAGGCCCATCTCATGCGGAACCGGTCACGGTGTCCCGTGTGACACGGCACTCGAGCGCTTTGCTCCCGGGGGGCTCTTCTCCGCATGCCGGTTCTTCTAAAAATACATTAGTACCGGCTCCTAAAACATTCACCACCAACTTCCTCGACATGCCCGTAGAAGTCGTAGAAAAGATTTTGCGCTACTTGGGATTTAAATCTGTATCGCAGTTACGAATGGTGATTTTTTGTTTTTCTTATTGTAGTAATAAGCCATATGTTACGTCGTGGCTTTATTTAAGTTGCAGACAAGTATTTAAGATACAGAACATGTACCATTTGAGAAACAAGCATATTATTATTGTTTTTATCACATTAATACAAAATGTTTATGAATTATCAGTTACCAAGTTTTTTATAAATTTTATTGATTTGCAAGTAACTACCAATGATGAAATTCATTACCATTTCATCTTAAAATATAAGTGTATGTAAGTGTTCAAATTTTAAATCATAACTTTGTTTAAAATATTCTTGCAGGTCAACAGGCAATTCAACACAATTTGCAGCAGCTTATTGAATTCAACATTCCAACGTTTACAAAATCAGATGTTGCATAGATTTCAGTCAATCAAAGCTAAAATGCCACGTAGGGAGTCTGCTCGTCGAAGCCATCCATTGGCCTGTGAATCGGATATAATTGAAACTTTACATATGAGACTGAGCCTACTGCAAATGACCTTCGGCAAACATATTGAAAGGAAACATTGTTGCTTTTTCCCTGGAGAGGTAGTTTTTATTTTATAACTAAATTACTTTTATCTTAAACTTACTGACTATATTTAAATGACTCTGTATAAATATTACATATATTTTTATTTATAGATATTAGATGAAGTGTACAGTATATTGTCATATTTGAAAACTACAACAAAGTTGGCAAGACCTTATAAAGTGACGGATGAGTTGTTTGATTTGACTACAATGGCTATGGAATATTTTAAAGAGCACATTGAACCCAACCTGCCTGAAATCACATATTTTGGTACAGATTTCTTCGATATAACTAATGCTTTCTCACGTAAGTATTCATTATATTTTTCTTTTGCGACTGTATGTTTTTCATCTCGATTTTGAGCTTGTGCCAGTTACCACGTCGAAAGGGTTAATTTTTCGTTTCTTTGCATTTGAATTTGTATCCGTCAACCTATTTCCATATTAGCTATTAAAACCTTTGATTAATCTCGACGGTTACCACCACCGTGCGCTTTTCACAAATTACTTTGTGCAATTAGTTTTTCCAGCAGATTCTACACCAACACCAATTGGTGTAATTAAATTGCATTCTATAGATTGCTATCTCTTTCCTTATCATACGTTCTATCATCTGTCACATTCACTTAAGTCTTACTTATGTTACACTTAAAAACTTATATTAATACTATGGATTACTAGCTGACTCGGCAAACGTTGTCTTGTCGTATAAATTATTTCTAAGGAATTTGTAGGGTAGAAATAAATATTTGTCGTGGACCACCCTTAACATTTAGGGGGATGAAATATAGATGTTGTCCGATTCTCCACCCTGGCCGATATGCACACAAAATTTCACGAAAATCCAATACAAAACCTGTAATTGAGACTGGGCAGAACGCTTTAGGCTCCGTATAAATCGTAGTCAACAATAAGTCTCTTTGATCGCCTTCACCGAACATTAAGGGCAAGTTAAGGTTTTTCATATTTCATAGGTCTTTGAGCTTGTAAGCTCCCAAATCGTTTGTCCCAATTGTATTATCAAGCGAGCAGGCGGTTCACCTGTTGTTAAGTGAATACCGCCGCCCATGGACATCTGCTACACCCAAATCTGCAAACCCTCGCACATACGTTGAAAACCTTTTTGAAAATTGGTTTCCGGCTACCTCAATGACCAGACGAAACGCGAAAGTATTATACTTCCACTTCACGCTGGTCTTCTGTCCATTCGTGCAACCGCCGAGGCTGCTACGTGCCCCTACCACAGTTATTTACGTTACTGACCCTTCATTACACTGAGATCATTCTTCGTATCGTTTTCGTTGTGGTGTTGGTTCTAACTGATACTTATCGCACTTCATTGTGGTCAACACACGTACGTTCCGGTATTAAAATACGTACAGACATAAAAGGACAAATATATAAGGCAATTATAAAATTTATGAATATCACGATGAAACGATGTATTCTGTAATATAAATGCTAAAATCAATATTATAAAGGAATTTTTACAGCTTAACGATAGTAGAGCATAACTAACGAGCGCTTTTTTCGAGCGCGGTGTGTACAAATCATGTAATACGTAAGAAGTATCTGCTTAAGGAAAATAATCTAATGCGTACATAATTGACATTACAGAAGCGAAGAAGTAAGAAGCAGGTAAATAAACTAAAAAAGACTAGGCTTTTGAAACAATACACAAAGTACTTATTATTAGAAATATTAATAGAGTATGCATATACGCATATTACACTTTATTACTTGACCTTTTAATATATTTACAGACAATATCAGTTTTCTATTAGCGGCCTCAAACTTTTGGCCGGTAACGTACATATATTAGCAGTGATAATTGGACTGGAAATAAGCTAGAACATTCTAATCAAACTCTAAATTGGTGTATGAGCATACTTGTTATAGCAGTTAGCCTGTCTATCGTAATATTATTATTGTCACACGCGTCTTCCTATTTTCCTTTTACGCGTATGATCGTGTAGGTGTAATGGCGTTTCCGTTTGGTATATTTAAACATTGGATCTATTGATTGGGCATTACCATTACCATCAATAGCCTTTACGGCGATTAATGGTGTAAAGTTTGCGGACTCGGTATGAGAATAATTTAAAAAAAATTCCCTGACTTTTGGCCATTATTATGTGTTCATAATAAGCTCGTTTTTTACGAGCAGTTCCATTCTTAATTAAAATTCACCATCACCACAAATTTGTACTATTCGAACCTGCAATGATGGATCGGAATCGAAATTCTAAAGTGCGTGTTGCAGAAAGATGTGGTTTATTCTTAAATTATTAATTAATTCACTAGATTTTACACTTGAAAAAAAAAAATTGTGATTGTGAATTATTTCTTGTATTGAATGTAAAAATGTCGTGTTGTACGGATCATTCAGTTTGTTGAGTTGATCAACGTGGACGTTAAAAGTAACAGTTTGGTTTTATGTTTAACATGATACATCTGTCGTCGTTGTAAAACTCTCTTAAAACCTCACCAGAATAATCTCGGGATTTTATACATTATAAGTATAAAAAAAAGTAAAGTAACAGCCTATAAATGTCCCACTGCCGGGCAAAGGCCTCCACACGGTTTCCACTGCGGATTGGTGGACTTCGAAATATTTTTTTGTTATTTCGAAAATATGCAGGTTTCCTCACTATGATTTCCTTCACCGCCGAGCACGTGATAAGACAACACTTAAAATTAACAATTTAATTGGTGCCGGCACCGGGGATCGAATTCAGGTTGCTCGAGTAAATAGAACTAAAGGCGTGCGCCCGAACACTGAGCTATCACGGCTCTATGAGTATGCTACTGATGAATGTCGCTTCCGGCTCTATCTATCCCGATTAACCTTTTAATAATTATACCATCGGCCATAAGTTTTCAGTAATTGGTTGTTTCAGAAATGCATCAACTCCGCTATGTTTTATTAGCAAACTTCAAAAACCTTCGAGTTTCAACAAATTAATTTTCTTATTAATTCATAAGTTCTCACGATTTGATCTTTGTATTATGTGATACTAACGAAACTAAATAACTAATCGACACTGAACTAACTAACAATCATATTTTGCTGATGCAGAAGTGGGTCGGATCAATGGTGTTGCAGTTGTTTATAAGCCATGGTTATTACTTAAAATAAATGTGTATGCTATGTGACATATTATTCTTAGTGTCTGTCATCATAATATACAAACGTATTTGTATAGAAAGGAATGTATTTAAATACATTTCTCAGTTACCTATCTATCCATTGTATAAGTTTTACTCAGTTAAATTTAGAAAAAGATGTCATGAAATGTTAATTTCTTTAACATCAAAGGAAGCGCCACCTTTTTGGTCACCTCTACTATCTAAGTCCACACCACCACGCCCGTACGCTGTAAAGTTTTCGAAACGTCGAGAATCGGAAAACAAAATGATTCTCAATAAGCCCCGTGTGGTAAAACCCGAGTAAATTCATGAAATCACGGATTATATTTTATTGTAAAGTACAGTTAACACGGATACGATACCGAATGGTTCGCTGACCTCACCTAATCAGAACACCGCGATTTAAAATGCTATTTTTTTTCGTTTGTGTGGCTTATAAAACGTCTGAAACGTGAAGAAAAGCCGGTTCGGGCGTATCGCATCACTTAGTTTCGAGAGGAGTCATGTTTTGGTGATTTTGTATAATATTTCATGTATTATTATTTTAACCTTTCTATGGAAAGAACGATATTAATTGACTTATCGGTATTTACTTAAAAACCGCTTTTACCACTTCTTTACATATTCCACAACAAAAAAGCATCAACATAAACATTATACCACTCGTGTGTTTTGTTTATAAAACGTGTAAGCAGTAAATCGAATGCTCGAGAAGTGTATCTGCGGTTGTTTTAATTATCATTTTAATTGTATTTGTGGCAACGCAGTATGTAGACAATTGCAGAATGATCTGATTTCCTTTTTCCTGTTTCATCTTGTTTCAAGTTAATAAGAAATTATAAATGATTTAACAGGTTATTTAGAGAACGTATAGTTTTAGTTTGTCTACTGTGATGGAGCCGTGGAAGCTCAGTGACCGGGCGCTCGCTTTTAATACAATATACTGTCGAGCAGCATGAGTTCGAATTCCGGAGTCAGCACCAATGGATTTCTATTGAAATGATAACAAAAAAAAAGTATTTCGAAGATATGTCAAGTCATATAGTATAGAAAAGTTAAGTAACAGCCTATTTATGTCCCACTGCATTTATATGTTGTTACTTTACTTTTTTGTCTGCTCTATCCTCCCAACGATTGGGTGGAGTGAGTCTATGGTACTAAGAAATTATTATATTGAATAGATTTTTATTTTACTTGTGCCTCATCTATTATATTGAAATAAGATTTGTGCACGTGAGAGAACAAAAGGTGTTAAGCTTACAGCAAATGTTTTTATGTGTATGCATAAAACCAGGAACTCGTTTATATATCAATGCATATGACGCTTGCGTTACAAACTTGAAATTTTGAAAACTGTACCTATTTTATTGTAAACATTTGTGGAAAGAAATGATTGTAAAGTCCGTCTCCAAGTAAATTAGTGAATGAAAGAGTGTAGGGATGTCACTGACATTCGTCACTCACTAATATTCCAGGCGTTTATAGGCCGAAAACTCGGCCCGATTTTTAGTCGAGGACGAGATCGAGATCGCGGTCAACCCTAAGATTTTAGATGTTTTTGTGGTCTGATTCATCGAAATTCTTATTGGGTTTTTAATTAAAAACGAACTGTGTTTTGATAACTTAATCTAAAGGAGAGATCTGAAGATTCCATGAGAGGTTCCATGCAGATGATGCCGCGAGTAAAAGCTAGTTACATCTATTTCTATAATACGGTGACGATTATTACTTCCGCTGCCGGCTTGCTCATGAATATGAGTGAAATATTAACAACACAAGCAATACCGCATTAGAAACGAAAACGAAACGAATTTTCAAAAATTATTCCTTAGTGGAAGCTTACAGGGATTTTAAATAAACCAAGATCTAATAAAATACAATTTTGTTGACTGTGGTAGGACCACACAACAATCTTCGCTGTTGCACGAATGGGCAGGTCCGTCCATGTAAGTACCCTCACAGAAGACCGGCGTGAAGTGAAAGTTTTCTTATACATTTGTTTCGTCTGGTGTGTGAAGTAGCCGGTAACTTTATTAAAAGGTGGCAATGCATTTGCATCCTACGGGTGTTGCAAATGTCAATGGGCGTCGGTTATCTCCTTCACATCTAGGTAACCACCTGCTTGCCTACCACCTTCACCCTCTCATCATATAAAGAAGAAAACAAATGCTTTTATGAAATAATCACAATGATTTCATGTTCTTTAAAATATTATGTGTATTTTTGAATATATGATTAATGTTTAACAAATATTTTATAACATAATTATTTTCATATATAGTATCAAATTTATCTGAATAAATAAAGTTATTTAACGTATATTATCGTGATCATTTTTTTATTTTCACGTTTAACTACTGAAAAAAAATTAAAAAAGATTAAATTCGCGTGGATAGTTTTAGTTAATCAATTGTGTTAGTTAATTCACGTGTAATCAAGAAATCCCTATGAAAAGATATTTAGTTTATACTTTTCAAGAACATTATTTTTTATTTTGACTTATAACAGTTATGAGCTTGCGAGGTGATGATATACGTATAAAGAAACAGTCTATTTATGTCCCACTGCTGGGCAAAGGCCTCTTCTGTACAGAGGTTATCGGGGCAAAGGCCACCCACGCGAACCTACTGTGGACTTCACATATCTTCGAAGTACATTTTTTAGTTATTATTTCCAAAATATGCAGGTTTCCTTACGATGTTTTCCTTTACCGCTGAGCACGTGAGATAATTCAACACTCAAAACAATTTCATTGGTACTGGCACCGGTATTTGAACTCAGGTTGCTCGAGTATATTGAATTGAAAGCAAGTGCCTGGATACTAAGTTGTCACGGCTCAATTAAGCTAGCTAATAATCGGATTTCAAAGCATTTTATATTTGGGAAAGTGACGAATTGAGCCTTAAAAGCATGCAACAATACATTTGGTAAATAAAGGAATTTATATAATCTCTGATCTCGGCCGATTATATCCGATATCAGATTCTAATAAGAAAATTATTTTGTTAATGAGATCGAATGAATTCGGTATTGAGAGAGGATGGTGTATGAGAGGAGACAACTAATGCTGCTATGCTCTGCCCGTAGTCATAGATCCCTATGTTACTGTAAAGTACGTAGCGTAGATTTATATCTAAATTAGACCTCGTCGTCATTTCCAGCTGGTGAGAGCAGTAAGTCATACATTTGCCTAGATTCACCACCGCCTAGCGGATTCGAGTCCGGGCAGCAGCAGCCAGGAGGCAGTTCCGCAGGGGATTGCGATCTTCCATCACTAAACTTGTTCATGGAGGAGAGTCTGCCACCTTCGCCGCCGCCTCCCCCCCAAAGCAACATGGTACTGAGGAAACGGATACATCGTATCAAACAGGGAATGAAAAAGTAAAACCGCATTTTGCTTACGACAATCCCATTAAACGAAAAGTATGGACAGGTAACCACACTTTGTTTTCATATATTTTTCAGGTACAACGATCAACTGTCCGCCTTGCGTAGTGATTTACGCAGCTGCAAACGCAAGACCGCTCTACAGCAGAAACAAATTGCGGAACAACAGAAACAGATAGCGGAGCAACAGAAACAAACTTTAGAGTATGCGAATCGTCTCGACGATTATGATAAAAAGAATGAGGAGACCAGTAGAAAATTTCAAACTTTGTTGCAGGTAAGATTATTTTTCTTAATTTGTAACAAGGTATCATAATGATTTATAACATATTTTTATTCATCATTTCATACATCTTTTTCTTTATTACTACATGTTTGAGAATTTTAATCTTGATAAGAAGATTGTTTTTTTAAATTATTGGACTATAAACTTATGGTGAGATCTTCTAACTATAATCCAGCTTGAACTTTGTTGACAAGGCCATAAGTTATCAAGTCATGATTATGAGTGTTTGTTTTAAATAATAAATGCAAATCATTTAATTATTTCATCATTACAATGGAACTAAAATTAAATCTAATAACATTATTACAATACAAATTTCGTCTCTTACACCATAACATTTCAAAGGACATGTAAAATTATCATAATATAGAGATACCAGCTGATAAAATTAAGGATCATTAATGCCTCCATAAGCTTTGCGTATTGATATCCTACATCACCTACTATCTTGGGTATAGATTAGTTATATTTGAAGTGGATAATATACAGCGTGTCGTTACCATCGCGACAATAAATGAACACACGTCTTACGCTACTTGCCAATAATTATAAAAAAATATTAACAAAGAAAGAACACCTGTAACACCTATACAACTACAACTGACTGATTCATACATTCAGAGACTTTTTCATTCGTTACCACGGCGACGCATTACAAGGCTCACCTTCTAACAGTATGTTTTGTCTCTTTTAAATTCATTCAACCCATTCATATGCTTTGTGACCTTTACAAATAAACTTTACGTTACAGTTTTATACGTAAGGGTGTTCTAAAATTCTTTGTTTTGGAAAATTAAATAAATCTAAATTTTTGATACAATTTTAAAAAGTTATGCTCTATATGTGTGTTCATTTATTGTCGCGTTGGTAACGACACGCTGTATATATGAAAATAGAATCTACAATAAATGCGAAGAGTTTTCATTGATACGTGTTTTTCTTGACAAAATTAAAACTGCCATTATATTTTAAGTTTAAAACAAACTGTTCATTATCATACATGTCTACAAAAATGATAGCACTTTTAGCTGCCTGATCCTTTAGCAATGTTGTCCTCTTTTGTCTCTTTGGTATAAATTAATAATAATCTTATCCTTTAAAGGAGCAATTCTTGTATATATATAATCGGAATCTCGGAAACGGCTCCAGCGATTTTCATGAAATTTAGTATGTGCGTAGATTCGGGGGCGCAAAATCGATCTAGCTAGGTTTCATTTTTAGAAAATCTCCTTTTATCCCAGTTTTCAGGGAATGAAAAATATCATTCGAATATGACTGTAACTTTCGCCGCAAAAAAAAATGTTATAATAGCTCGGTCGGTAATCGTGCGATCTCAAAACAGACGGCCGCGGTTCGTATCACGATGGTTTACACACTTATTTTTTTTACTTTTTTTTTCTATACCAGATCATATTCTTTATTTTTTATTTCCAAAATACATGATTTACCAAAAAAAAAACGAGCAAAGCTCGGTCCTCCAAGTACTTACTATAAATATATCAGGACACATTTTTACACAACATTCTCTTGACCTAAACAAAGCAGTGCCTAGTACTATGTGTACTAGATAACTAATAAACATACTTTTCTTTTGTAATTTTTTTTTTCAAAATACAATGTTCATAACACAATATTTTTCCTGTAGTGAGGATCATAGCTGGCGCAAGGGGCAAGGACATCAAGGTATAAAAAGAAGTTTTCTAAAATGTGTTTGCATTATCTTTTCAGGAGTTAAATAAGTGCAAGACGGAGTTGCAGTACTGGCGCTCGCGGTCACCGGCAGTGCCTCCATTGTGTGCGGAGTGCGGTGCTTCGCTGCGGCTTTCGCCTGTTGCATCATTGGCGCAGGTCTGCTGACTTTAATCTACTTCCAATAAGAAATACATGAGAAAGAACATGAGAAAATATTGATCTGCCAGACACCTTTTATTTCTATACAAGATTCACTATCATTTCTATTTTGTAGCATTACTGGTTTGTAGGGTATGTTTTATAATCACTGTCATTATTGCCCTATTTTTTGTGGTCTCGCTTGTCTCTTGTACCTGTAGTTTTTATTTTTAGAATTTATTAATTTTATATTATTATTAAATATAAATGAAATGAGGTCCACTTAATTTCTGTAGATTCTAGTTAATTAATATTAATAATAACAATTAGTATGGAATTAATAAGCAATTGAGTTATGTCTCATGCAAAGTTGGTTCTTGAAGACTTCTTTATAATGCTTGACTTGTAGAATTAATTGATTTACTGATAGTTAAGAGCTAATTGACAATTTTCAGCGCTGTCATGTGTATGAAAATTGCTACTAATTTTTGATTTGCAATACAATATTATTGTACCATCTTGAATCAATCAAATTTCTTGTCACTGTATAGTAATGGCTAGCAGGCAAACACCAGCTTAACTGTGATGGCTAACCAGTAGCTTAAGTTTAAAAAAATTGTGAGTCAGTAAAATGAAATTAATAACACCAAATAAATTACTTTCATGATGGGGCAGCAAAATTAAACACTTAATTCATTTGGCTGACATTGGGATCAGTTCTTTTTATGGTCTTTTTACCTTATACAGGATCATAAATCTGATAAGTTTTTGGGCCTTATAATAAAGTAGTAGTTTGAAGAACATGAGTTGAGGTTTTTTTTCAAGCGCACACAAGCTACACATTAAGCTTTTAAATGTACTAGGACTGACCAACTAAGATCTTTTTTATTCAACCGTTTCAGTGGGCGTCTAACAGCGGCGCGGAAACGAACGAGGTGGAGACCGCCGGGGGTAGCAAGGAGGCCGCCTCACTGGCCGCCGGCAACACGCCGACCGTCGCGCCGTCCGCCGAGCCGGAGAAGGCGACCGAGATCCCGACGCGTAACGAGCACAAGTCCGAAGCGAGCAGCGGCGAAGAGAGCTCCACTCACACCCCGCCCACTCGCCGACGCGCCTCCGCCGACGCGGCGTCCGCCTCGGCGACGCCCGACCGCAAGAAGCGTCGCCTAACGCGCCCCAGGAAGCTCTGAGCGCAACCGAACAGGTAATTCGCCTGCACCGTGTCGATGACTCCGCGGCGCGTTTGTCGCCTCCGACGCCGGCGGTCGCGGGTTCGATTCCCGCACGGGACAACTGTATGCGACGCACATAGGATCGTTTCGGATCTGGGTGTTTGTCCAGTGTGACATTTTATGTATGCGAAACGTCCTTACAATACAGGATAATGTTTTCCTGCAGTAAGTGGCAACGTTTTCGGAGGGAAGACTACAATAGATCTTTCTAGGTTGCAAGGATTGTTGAGACTACCAAAGCCTTTCCACGCAAAATATTATACAATACACTATATTGCTGTAACTCCTAAATGAGACGTTGCTTTCACAGTGTTCAGATATGAAGCAACTGACGACTTTCGAGGGGTTTCAGCATAAAGCTGTTTCTGTTGGTGATTGGGAATCATTGGTAAAGGGTTGTTGCTGACAAATCCAAACTCACTAAACTTGTTACATGCCTGGTTTATATTTAGAGCTGGCCATGTTAACAGTATTCTGTATACACCTTAATGTGGGCTGGTTGCAATTGCAAATTCGTAATTTATCTTCTTAATAGAAAAATCACCAAAAGTAATGAAAATCTAATATTTCATCTGAACTTATTACTTGTTTAAGCTGATTACAATTCAGTATTAAATTAGTTATGAAGAAATAACTAAAAGCAGGTGGTAAAGTTTTCTTGGGTTTAACCTATTTCAAAGTAATTTAATGATATAACTTATCACAAGTCTTTAAGTAATGTGTATGGAATGTCCTCAAACATTTCCTTTGCAACAATACCTTAGTTATGTTTGAATTACAAATCATTATTATTATATTTGAGTATAATTATAATTACTTGAAGAAACACTAAAACAAATAGCAAGTGAAGTAGTAAAAATGTTGTATTAGATTTTCAATTATGTAAATACAGATTAAGGCTTAATCTTTCTTTTTTGTTGCATATAAAACATTACCAGATCTATTCTATCAGTTCAGAACTTTGTGTAACATACATGACCAGTAAATAAAATATCTATCATTTAGGCACGGCAAGCTAATACTTCTGTCTTTTTTTTAAATGCAATCTTATGTGAGTGAAATGAGTTTAAACCTGCACTTTTCCAAATTTTTGAAACAGGTTTTGGTATATATAAAAATTTGTTTCTTTTATACCACAATCATAAATTGGATGTATTTAAAACTCTACCTCAGTGTAAAACGTTTAAAGTTACTACCTTCAAGCTTTTTAAAATTTTGTGCAATTTAAAAATATATGCAAATATGTTGCCTGTTTGGCATAAAGTTGTTTGGAATACTTAATGTTAACATAACATTATCAACATTATGTATTAGCACATGCTTAAATCACTTTTTAATAAATAAAATTTGTAATAACAAAGAAAGGTTATTTGACACTGAAACAAAAATTAAGAGGGCATTATTTCATAATATTCCTGGTTAAATGTGATGAGATATAAAATTTTTCTGTACATATTATTTATAATTTTCCAATATAAAGGTTACTTTCTCTGCAATTAGATTTTTGTAACATCTATAAAAACTTCAATATCTTTCTTCTAATATTGTAAAAATATTTAATTTAGTTTATAGAAAATTAATGTAAATGAAAGGAAATTATATGTAGTTGGATTTAACAGTTAAAATGTAATTAATTGTTTGTGTTTTATAATACAACATAAAGTTTATTATTTCCATTCAGAATATCTAGAATATATGTGCAACAGTTGATTTCATGTTTTCTTACTTGAAATAATTTACTTTATTTAATTATATTAAACAAAATATTTAATTACAATACAAAAAAATGGCAGTGAATATGTATGCTGGCTGTCTTAACTTAATATGAAACATAGTTCATTATTAATAATGAATATTAGGCTTAGAATGTTAAGATCTAAACCAAGTTATATGATTTTTCTTACTGCCACATGAAATTAATTATTTTTTCAAAACATTTACGGTTTTAGGTTAATTGATGATAAACATACTTGATTTGATGATTTTTCACTGGAGATATTTAATCTAGGGACAAAAGAAAGTTAAGACAGTTGGATCCTATTTGCAAATAGCTAGTAGACCCTATAATAAGAAATTAACAACAAGAGTTGACAGTAAGTGTAGACCCTATAATAAGAAATTAACAACAAGAGTTCTTATTCATTCAAAAATAGGTGAAAGAAAAGGTGAACAAAAATGGTGAATATGTTTCGTTTATTTATTATATGTACATGTGTTATATGAAAATTTGTAATTTTAATATCAAAATATCCCAGAATTCGAAAATTATAAATATTTAATAAAATCTTATAGAGCCTTTCCTTTGCATACGGAAGATTGTTGGGTTTGATTTATTGTGATTTTTACAGTAGCATATATAAGCAAAGTATCCGAAGTTTGTTTAGTGTATCATCAGAAATTGAATTGTTCCTGTTACTTAAAGAAATATCTTTTTATTATTTAGTCAACTGTTGTACTTCAATATCTATATTTATATTTTTCATTGGGTTAGATGCTATGCATTAATTGTCGAGGGCAGTATTCATATACCAAATTGCTTAAATAGAATTGTAAAATGTGTTTATGTTAACTGACTGTTCATTACTGAAATTGCTTAAGCGAGGAAATAAAGAATATTACAGTACATTAATATTCCAATGTGCAGGACTTTCAAAGTTATTATGACATTGAGAGACAATACAACATTTTTTCACCTGTTGTTTTTGTTAGTAATTATTTGGTTTGTATTTACAACACTCAGCATAATAACAGTTACATCTGAGTTAAGATTTTTAATCTATATTATAATAACTCACATATGCAAGCACTACACATTATTAAATGAAACAGTTTTTATAGACGGTATGAGTTTTAATTTAAACTTAATACCCAATGTTTTTGATGTTCTGCAGCATTTGTGTTTACATAATGTAGTCCATCATGTTAACACAAATGCCGCAGAATATTAGTAGTTTAAATTAATAGTGAATAATTCATAAAAGTAAATTTCTATTTATAATTTGAAATTTATAATTTATTACAAAAACGGCTAACTGCAAGCTCTATAATTAAGTTATTAGTTTACATCCCTTGCCCATGTGTATCTCATGTTTATAATTATTAACTGGTTACAATATTATATGTACAATATTTACATTGTTTTGTGTCATCAATATTCTTTATTCACCTCGGAGGTCGACTAGCTCTTTCATCATAATATTTTGGTTAAAAATAATACTGGAAATGATTCGTCTGGAATTAATTTTATAGGAATTTCGTAATATAAATATTTGTATTAAGTTTATAATAAGTTCAGCCCTAATTAAAAAATTCAATGTAATTAGAATTAGAAACATGTGAATAGAGATGAAGCGGCTGGAATATTGTTCTTGATTTGTATATAAACAAAACTAAAATCTCTTGTGTAATATACAAATGGATATATTTATGATTATATAAATATACAAACAATGTAAAGTAAATATTTTTGTGACATGGTGTATAAGTAGTGCAGTAGTCTCTGCTAAGCTATTTTCCATACTGAATGTACTAAAGCCTACAAACTTTTGTATTATACATGGTAAGCTCGCAGGGCTTCACACAGTTCTTGCATCATGTCACTTTACAATCAAAAACATATCAACCAAATTCATCGAGCCATCATCCCAACAGTTTACCCAATTAAGGAACATTTCTACCATGTATTAGATACGCACAATTTATCGTATGTTGGAGAGATGAATATATGACAACTTTTCAGTCTCATAATGTTTGTGAATCATTCACCTTTAATTTGAATACATGACCTTTAACTATTGTATACTATCCGTGACAATTTTTGTATGATGTTAAATTGATTGCACATTTTATTAATGGACAATGTGATTGATTGTCGACACAATGTCATAAATGGAAGGGAGATGATAAGCACCTTAATATACGAGAATTTGTACACGAGAATTTCTGGAAAAATGAATTTAGAATTCATTATCCCACCTGAGCCTGAGAATAAAATCGTAGGCGACGGTCCATTTAGTCAGTACCACGTGCACGATCATTTGAAACGCGTCAAGTGTCGTTGTCTCTTTCTATTAACAGAACTAAGGTTGCGTGGGGGGGGGGGGGGGGGGGGGGGGGGGGGTTCGCAAAGCGTCGATCCATTTAATCAGTACCACATGCTCAATCACGATCGAAAAATGTCGTCGCCTCTTTCTATTGTCATAATCGAGGGAAGGGGTGAGGGGATTCGCAAAGCCAACGTCAACGGTGCACGAATGAATACGCTTCACCAATTTGGACAATAAGTGTTGCTAGTTACCAGTTGGCCGAAGGGCCTCCATGCAATGGAAGGTGCACTATTCCGTGCATTGACGCCATATTTATTATTCCTTGTATATAGTTCAATTGTACATACTATGTATGCCGTGTAGTGGGACCGTAGATTGTTTCGCATTGTTAGGTGTCTTGAACGCGTTAAGTCGTTATAGAGGGACGTTCGAACCTAGAACGCATTGGTTATGTTTCCATTCGGTGCAATCTTCTACATTGATAATATGGCTATGAGTCTTCTCTTAACATGCATGCAGCTGTTCCGATTTCTGGGATAGCAGAATTTTTGATGCCCGTATAAATTTTGCTCATTAAAGGTGAATGTTACAAATTATTTGTATTCATATTCGTTTAGCCAATAATTTTATTTCGCTTTGTGTACATACGAATAATGTAGGTTAAGTAGTTTTCTTAAATCACCAAGCGAGCGTGCCGCACGTAGATGTACGTACGGCGTGCTCGATTTGTTTTTATTTTGTGAGCGATACAATTGTTTTTGTACGCGCGAGTGCCCGTCGCGTAAAATATATGTATTTTACGAATACCTGTATGTTTTCCTCGAGCTATCTATCTCTTTCCTTTTCCTAATTGTAAGACGGCAATTCCTTTCGGTACCTTCATATAGTTTTAAACAAGAGTTTTTATTT